CACACACACACACACACACACACACACACACACACATACATACACACGTGCATAAACGCACATACACTATTTTTTTTTTCCCACAAAGTTCCGCTTCGGCCCACTAGAGGAGGTGATATTAGCATATCCCCCTATACTGGACTTCTTATATGAACATGGTGAATAAAGCACCAGCCGGGACCCCCCCCACAAATCAATCAATCAACCAATCAACATATAAAAAAGTTCGTAAAAAACAAAACAACGAGATATTGATTGATTGATTGGTTGGTTGAAGGGCGGGGGCTCGCGGCGGGCGGCGACCCCACCCCAACCAACCAATCAATCAATCAATCAATCAATCAATCAATCAATCAATCAATAAATGTTTTTAATTTATATGAAAAAGTTCAAAAACAAAAGGGCGAAATGGGGGGGGGTCCGTTTTTTTTTGACCCCCTATCTTCTACAAATTTTGTTCTTTTTTTACTCAACAGATTGACACGACATTTTCCCGAGAGGCGCGTTAGGTCGTAGTCTCTCTCTTAAAAAAAATAAAAAGACCCCGGGACGGGGTTTGGCGGGCCCCGAGCCGCTACACGGACGGGGCCCGAACCCCGGCCCGAACCGCCGAACGTACCCGGGGGGGGGGGGGGGTCCGACCCCCTCCTAACGTTAACGGCCCGGCAACCCTGAATCATATCATACAGTAAAAAACAGACAAACCGGGAAAAAAACGGAAAGTGAAGAGTCAATCACTAGAAAGAGGTGGAAAACATCAACAATCTATCTCGCTTTAACTTTTGACTTCTTTAAGAGAATTCATCTGAATTACTAGTATGTGTGTTACAGCCGTACAGTTCAGACGGCCTCTTTTTTTTGGCAAGTACATACAACTGCCATTTGGATTTGTTCTCAAATTCGTTGCCCTTCGCAGGCTTCTGTCTCTTCGACAGTGACTGTGACCGTGACCGTGACCGGAAACTGCGTAAGGTGGGGCGGATGTTTAGATTTTCTATCCCTTCAAAAAAAAAAAAAAAAAAAAGGGCATCCGCCCCACCTTACACAGTTTCCAGTCACAGTTTCCAGTCACAGTCACAGTCATAGTCACAGTCATAGTCACAGTCACAGTCACAGTCGAAGAGACGGAAGGCAGCGAAGGACAACGAATTTGAGAACAATTCCAAATGCCAGTTCAATTGTACTTGCCCAAAAAAAAGAGGCCGTCTTCTCAATATGGGGGTTTAAGAAGGGGAAAGGGGAAAGCATGTGTGCATTGCGTGTAGGCACCCCTGGGTTTCTAACTGGGTAATCCAAAACACTAACGTCTTCCCCCGAACACAACGCACCCCCATTTTGCCTGTATCAGGCCGGAAACATACCTTGTATACGTTCATTTTCAGGGTGCGTTATGTTCGGGGGAAGACGGTAGTTCGAAACAAATCCTATCACTCCCAAACATACATAAAGAATACACATTTTTGTGTTGATCTCAATTGCCAAAGCTGGATTCTGCTCCGCATTGCCAAGAGCAGTAGTAGCTCCAATTGGACGCAAGGTACAGGGTGCACTAGTTGTGGGCCTATAACGCAAGCGCGAACCTCCAAGGCATGGCCTGGGCGTGATCCCACCGGCGAGCATCAAGGTGGGACCGAAGGTAGGATATGGGGAAGGGGAGGGAGAGGGAGAGGGAGAGGGAGAGGGGGAAAGGTAAGCAGTGGCGAGTAGAAGAGGGGAACGGAGAGGAGAAGAGGAAGGGCAAGGATTGGGGGGAGAAGGAAGGGGAGGGGGGAGAGGGAGGAGGAAAGGAGGGCAGAGGGAAGGGGGACGGGGAACGTGGAAAGGGAGGGGGAAGGGGAGGAGGAAGGGAGTCCCCGCCGATCATAACTTTATGAGGATGTGGCTCCAATTTGGGGATCGCTCAACTCCATTCTCCAAAATAACACATCATTGGAAGACGATGTAGGTTTCTGTTCAGAATATGGAGGTTGAGAGAGGCATCCAGTGAGTGGCCAGCGTTTGGGTATGGGCTAGATAAGACGACCAGGTGCCATGCACGCATTTGCAAAGAAGATGGCAAGGTCGGAGGTGGGACACCCGATTGCGGCGTTTCGGACTTCGTGTGCAATTGAGACACACGAAAGGGAAGTTCACACAAGGGAACGGAGAGAGGGGATAAAAGTTTGGAAGCGAGCACAATCAGAAGAGGGGAAGGATAAAGGCGAGAAGAGACAAGACGGTGGTGGGGAAGAAAGAGGCAGCTAGCTTCCTAACAGGGGAAAGGGGGAGGGAGGGGGGAGGGGGAGGGAAGGTTCCAGAAACACTCTGCCAGGCTTCCAAATGCTCAACACACGTGAGCTGGAAGGGCGAGGGACCAAAAGAGATAGACAAACAACGAGAGAGAGAGAGAGAGAGAGAGAGAAATAGAAAGAAAGAGAGAGAGAGAGAGAGAGAGAGAGAGGGAGAAGGAGAGAAAGAGAGAGAGAGAGAGAGAGAGAGAGAGAATAGGTTCTCCTTTACTTCCCTAAAGGGACGTTAGAACTTACATAAGTGGGATAATCATTTTTGCACAAGACACGTGTCCTACGGAACTCGAGATGAGGCGGCAGTTCACCGCTCTTCTTTCCCCCATTGTCCATATCAGGCGATTGCAAGCCCTTCTTTTTCCTCTGCTTCTCCTGCTTCTCTTCCCCATCCACCTCCATATCCACGCTCTCGTTGGTTGTCCTTCCTCCTCAGCTTGTCTCTGTCTCGCTCCGCCTCACAGCCCCCTGCACGAGCGCAATCTCCGCTCTCCTTTCTTGCCCTCGCGAGCCTTCGGACGCGCGCCGCTATGCCCGCCCCAGTCTTCTTCAGAAACGCTTGCGAACAGATGTTCGTCTCCAGAGCAGATCTTGCGCACGGGCAGGAAAAACAAAAACGTAGGGAAAGCCCCAACTTTGAGCGGCACGCGCGGAAAAGACGTTTCGACGGGTTTCCCGTAACTCGTTCCGGGACCAGGGGAAAAAAGTGGGGAATACCAACTGGCCTCGTTCGACACCACTACAAAACCCTCACATGAAAGGTTTTCATCGTTCCACCCCTCTGATCACGAAGAAAGAAAGTCGAACTTGTTTTCACATTCGCGGCCGTAAGGGGGGGCCCTACACAAGTAAGGACTCCCCAGCCAAAACGGACCACCAGTACCTCGCTCAGCTATCGGCCGCGGGCCTTCCCGTATACGCGCCGCAGCCTTAGGGGGTCGGCCAAGGGAAGGCCCGGTCGTAGCGCTAAGGCCGGGCCCCGGTTCTGTAGGGATGACACTACTACAGAAAAACAATAAAAGAAAGAAGGGAAAAAAAAAAGAAATATACAAACGAAAAAAAAATGAAAGGCGGGAGTTGCCTCGAGGGGCGAGAGGGAGGAGCGGCCTGGGCGGTAAGGAGATGATGACAGGGTGCGTTCGTGCTCTTGACACGCAACCACGTGGAGTCACGTGGCAGGTCCGGACGGGAAGGTGTTGATGACAGAGTGGTTCGTGCTCTTGGCGCGCAGCAGCCAGAAAGGCGGCTCAGAAGGTAGCGGGCAGCAGCTAGAAGACACCAAGAGTGCGTAGGACTGAGGTAAACTTCATCGAAACACACAACTGCGTCTATGCTTATTCGAAGGTAGGAGTAAGAAAGAGTCGAAGGGCAAGGGAGATATAGAACGGAGGATTGAACAGGGAAGTGCTCATAATCCGATGTGGTAGTGACCGATATTGGAATACGGTGATAAACTTCCCCCGTTACTGTCCTTCCCCTGCACCACGGACTCTGACTCTTACTCTAATCTACCTCGAATAAACAGGATAGACATCTCATCACCACTACGCAGAGGACACAAGATTCAGGACCAAGTGGTGACACATCAGCCAGGGCAGAAGAAGTTCAGGGTTTAGTCAGCAGAGAGGAAGGTTGTTCATGTTTATCTCGTCGGGGAATAAGAAATAGCAAGGAGAGGAGGTCTGACATATTGTGACACGCACGTCGGGGACAGGCTTAGATTATCAAGAGAGAGGGCTCTACACATCTTGTTCCGTAGTCTGATCTTTGCGGTCGGAATGCATGTCTCACACGTACGCATGAGCTAGCCGCTTCAATGATGGCGAGAAAGGAATACGGGCCCATAACGCATTTCCTGTAATACTGTATCTCCGTTGCTGCTGCGGCATGGTACATCCTTCGCTCCATAGGAATCCCATCGCATACTTCCCTGCTCACAATCCATTATTCAACTTACCCAAAATCAGGACCGGTTGATAACAGGGTATCTTTGTATTGCCAATGCCAGTCCATTCCCCGCCTCCCTGGGAAGAATGACTTCGTTACCTTCTCACAATGCATCCCCTGGGACATAGGGCGAAAAGGGAAGAATCAGGGGGATCATTGGGGATTGCTACGCGAACGGCATTTTGCCAGAGGAATTCGCCCCAAGCATAGCCGATGCTGGCCAGGACTTCGTACGCATGGTTGTCAACAGAGATTTTTACGAAATCCAGGCCGAATGGTTGAAGGAACATGTCGTTGCAGTTCAGTTCGAAAACGATTCCAAAGCTTTACCTGCAACAGTAAAGAATAGATTGATCTGAATTTATGAGGATGGATGGTCCCTGGCAGCTGATCTGAATGTCCCCCCCAAACGGGGGGTATTCCGTTGTGATGGAAAGAACCTGGTCACATACGTGGCCAGTTCGGATAAAATCGCAAAATGGATGATAATAAAAGGGACAGACAATATTATGTTGGATGGCAAAGCTTACACCATCCGGTTCAGGCCTTGGATGAATGAGAACGAACTGTATGATTGGAATGAAGCTAAAAAACTTCAATATTTTTGGATCAAAGTTATCCAGGTCCCAGTCTCGGTTCTGCCCCATCTGAAAGGAGCCATACAGAAAGTTTTTGGCAGGATTATGAAAACGCATGATACCTTCTCAGACCCGATTGCGCTTGATCTCTGGAACGTAAGATTCGATATGGAAGCGACAACTCGCCTCTCGTACAAACAACACCTGATTGTGGATATGTTGGACGATGGGTGGGTAGATCTCAGTATTGCATGCGCAGATTCCTCATGGTGTAGAAAATGTCGTAGCTATTTCCACACAGACGAAGATGAATCCTGCCCAATCAACAAGAGATTTGCAGACCAGAAGAAATCCTTTAAAGAGGTGGTTATAAGCTCAGATAAGCCCACTCGAATGAGTGATCAGCCAACTGTCCTCCAGAAGCCCGCTCTAGTGGAAGAGCCCAGTAATGGCCTCAGGGTAACAAAGGATCAGGACAAGAGCCCTGAGGTTGATAATCCGAACAAGTCCGCAGAGCGGGTGGTTCCCCACAACAACGGTATAGAGGCCAATCGTTCTGCCCAGAATGGTTGCTCCCCCCCCCGGGAGAAAAGCAGATCGAAAAAGATAAAGATTCCCAGAGACAAGGGCAAATGGCCTCTGTCCTGGAAAGCCAAGCACCCGATAGCTCCGATCACGATGAACCCATCCACCTCTGCCTCCTCAGCCACCACGAAGACTAAGGAATGGAAAGAGGTAGAAGGAGAGGGGGATGAGAGAAAAGAACCTGAAGGAAATGAGAGGGAAACAACAGTGGGGGTCACGGAAGACCAAGGAACAGGGAGCCAAGGGTCTCTGGACATGGAGATATCATTCACCCCCCAAGAAACCCTCATCCCCTCAAACCCCACCCCTCATCCCCCGCCCTCAACCCAACTGGAGAAACACAGTGAAATAATTGAAAAGTTGGATGAAATCCTGATGGGCTTCTCCCCTGCCGACGATGCGGCCCCCCCCCCCAACTTAGAAGAGACACAGAAAGAACGGGATGACAAAGTTTAGCAGGGCAAGCACACAAAGGAAATACAGGTACATAAGGGGTTGGTAAACACGATGAGCGTGGAATTCAGAGCAACTGGTGGGAATACAGCTAAAACCCCCAAAAGAAAGAAAAAAGGGACCAAGAAGTGTGCAGGGATAACCAATGGGGCCGCCACAACAGAGGGAACTGGAGGCCTATGGAAGAAACTAAAAGCCAATGACGAAAAGGTCATTCCACAGTCACACAGCGTTTCCGACGTCCTCGGGGTGGACAGCTCCCCTCAGGAAAAAAAAAAAAGGCTTTTGAACAACAAATCTGAGCAAATGGCAATAAGTTTTGCTCAACCAATCAAAACAATATCACGAAAAAACAAAAAGGTCACCCAGCTATTGGTTCCCTTGATCTGTGGATCTTTCCAATCAGAACCAGCAGTGCTCCTGACGCGTCAGAAAGGTAATACCTATGCATTCCCCTCTGCCACAGTCCAAGCCCAACCCTCAGAAGAGCAGGCTATCGACCTGACGAATAAAATAATACTTAGGGACTGGGGATAAGCTAACCTCTGCAGCACTCTAAGGATGGGCAGACAAGTGGCAGAGGTAGGGGAGGAAGGGGTGTTCCTCATGCACTTCGTCGTGGTAGCTCTGTCCGCCATTAAGGAGGAAAAGGTTATCTCCAGTCCCCAGGCATTCGCCTGGCTCAAGCTAAGTCCTTTTCTGTCTCCACACTCAAGAGCAGATGACAAGCTACTGATCATCCCAAATATTCCAGCATGTACGATGACAGAATGGTTAAGCAACTCAGAAACCAAGCTCAACATGGCATCGGTGGATTTCACTCAGAGCCTGCGGTCCTTCGACGGACTCTAAAAAATAACGATGTTCCTCCTCGCAGACCCCAGTACCCGCATCCAACCCCCAGGCGGCAGTGGCCACTCAGATGGTCCTGCCAAATAGGATAAGGATTGCATGCTGGAACCTTAGAGGGTTGGGTGACACATCCGACCGACACAAAAAATCCAGATTCTTATCATGGATCCACAAACACGACATTCAAATGGTCTGCATACAAGAAACCAAACTAAATGCCGAATAAATTATGGGTGTCCAGAGGTGGTGGTCTGGGCCCCAATTCCGAGCCCCTGCAGTGGGATCTAAGGGAGGAACAACAATCCTCATGCACAAGGATTTGGAAGTAACTATCATTGACTCTTATCAAGATCCTGGGGGTAGATGGCTATGGGTAAAACTAACTGTGGATGAAGAAGACTGGGCAATTATGACGGTGTATGCCCCCGTGGAATACGCAGAAAGAATCATTTTTTTTGCCTCACTCCCAGCCTGCATCCCGGACGTGGAGAACCTGATCATAGAAGGGGATTGGAATACCACGATGAACCCCGGACTTGACTCCCCCTCCCCTACGCCAATCAGGCGGGATGCATTGATGCTGAACTCTTTCTTGGTATCCCAAAGCATGATTGACATCTTCAGAACTTTGAATCCGGAAACCCCTGGCCACACCTGGTACGGGCCCAAGCCCTCTGCAACAAATCTCCCCCCCAACAGAAGACTGAATTTCATTCTAGCTAGAGGGGAAGTCTGGGATAGGTGCATTTGGTGTGATATCATTGATAATGAGGCTCTCTCAGATCATTATCCAGGGGGTATGGACATCCTAGCTAAGTGTCAGTTTGAGAAAATGCGTCCGCCTTTCCGCCTGAACACCAATATTCTGAAGGACCCTCGAATTCCATCATGGGTTAAAGAACAAATGACCAAATGACCAAATGGTCAGAGGCCAAGGAGTTATTTTCAAACGAGCATGTGTGGGCCGAAACAGGGTTGGGTATCATTACCGCGACGCTCAAGACCTTCTCCAGGATGAAGGCAGCCAACCGCTCATGGGAAGAAACCGAGATCCGTAATACTATTTCCAGTGCTCAACTAAACATGGGAAAATATCAATACTCAGACCACTATTGGGCTAACAAGAGATTAACCAGTCTGCCGATCTGGAGGCCCTTAAGGTCAAAAAGCAGGGGGACTGGCTCCAATGGCTAAGGATAAGGGGGTTGGTAGGGCACGACAAAATGACAA